ACGCGGGCCCACCCAAGCTCATTCAAACCCAGTATAGGGAGCCACAAACAGCAGAACACCAACACCCACAGGACAAATTTGACAGGCTCAAAAACCCACTGAGATAGTCAAAATGGTAAAACAAAGAAACAAATCCCAAATGGAAGAACAAGAGAACTCTATCAAAGATGAAATCAATGAAATGTAGCTAAGCAAATTATCAGAGGTAGAGTTCAGAGCCATGATCTTGAGGAAGCTCAACAGCATGAGTAAGGACATCAGCACCATGAGTAAAGATATAGAAACATTGGAAACCAACCAAGTGGAAATAAAGAATGACATAGAAGAAATTAAGAACACATTGGAAGGACTAAACAGCAGAGTAGAGGAAGCTGAGGACCGGATCAGTGAATTAGAACAGGGTAGAAAAAATCAACCAATCAAAAAACCAAAAAGAAAAAACAATTAAAAAACAGGAAGATAGCTTAAGAGAACTGTGGGACAACTGGAAACGTAATAACATTCGCATCATAGGAGTCCCCGAAGAGGAAGAAAATGGGCAAGAGTTAGAGACTATATTTGAAGAAATAGTGACAGAAAACTTTCCTAACTTGGTGAAGGAAGAAGGCTTTCAAGTTCAAGAAGCACAGATAGCCCCAAGTAAGAAGAACCCAAACAGGCCCACACCAAGACACATAGTAATTAAAAATGCCAAAAATTAAAGACAAAGAGACAATCCTAAAGGCAGCAAGAGATAAGCAACAGGTTACATACAAAGGAAACCCATAAAGCTCTAAGCTGACTTCTCAACAGACACACTATAGGCCAGAAGGGAGTGGCATGAAGTAATCAAGGTCATGAAAAACAAGGATCTGAATCCAAGACTACTCTATCCAGCAAGGCTATCATTCAAAATAGAAGGGCAAATGAAGAGCTTTCCAAACCAAAATAAAAAGGCTCAGAGAATATATTAACACCAAACCAGAACTGAAAGATATGATAAAAGGACTGCTTTTTAGGAGAAGAAATCGGAAGAAAAATAGAACCACACTAAACAAAAATGGTAATTAATAAGTGCATATCAATTTTCACCTTAAATGTGAATGGTTTGAATGCTCTGATAAAAAGACACATTGTAGCTGACTCACATATATGTTGTTTACAAGAGACCCACCTCACAACAAAAGACTCACATAGGTTGAAACTGAAGGAATGGAAAAAAAATCTTTCAAGCAAACAGAAAGAAAAAAAAGCTGGGGTAGCAATATTCATATCTGATAAAGTAGATTTCAATATAAACACCATATCTAGAGACAAAGAAGTCCACTACAGAATATTGAAAGGATATATCCAACAGAAAGATATAACCTTGGTAAACTTATATGCACCATTATACATTAACAATCTTCTGGAGGACTTCAAAGGAGAAATCAACAGTAATACATTTATAGCAGGAAACTTCAACATCGCGCTGACATCACTTGATCATCTAGATGAAAAATTAACAAGGAAACACAGACTCTAAATGAAGCACTAAATCAAATGTATTTCATAGGTATCTACAGAGAATTACACCCCAAAACTGCAGAATTTACATTCTTCTCAAGTGCACATGGGACATTATCAAAGATAGACCACATGTTAAGGCACAAACTAAGTCTCTACAAGTTCAAGAAGACTGAAATCATATCAAGCATCTTCTCAGATCACAATGGTATGAAACTAGAAATCAATTGCAACAAGAACATGCAAAGACATTTGAAAACATGGAAGCTAAATAGCATGTTATTGAACAATTAATGGGTTACCATGAAGATCAAGGAGGAAATTAAAAACTCCTTGGAAACCAATGAAAATGAACACACAACAACACAAAATCTATGGGATGCAGTGAAAGCAGTTCTGAGAGAGAAGTTCATAGCACTACAGGCCTACCTCAAGAAACAAGAAAAATTCTAATAGAATATCTAACCTCACAACTTAAAGAACTAGAAAGCAAACAAAAAGAAAACCCCAGAGCAAGTAGAAGAAAGGAAATAGTAAAGATCAGAGCAGAAATAAATGACATGAAGACCAAAAAAATAATTTAAAGTGTCAATGAAACAAAGAGCTAGTTCTTTGAAAAGATAAACAAGATTGATGGACCCTTAGCTAGACTCACCAAGAAACAAAGAGAGACAACCCAAATACACAAAATCAGAAATGAAAGAGGAGAAATAATAACTGACACTACAGAAATACAAAGGATTGTGAACAAACATTATGAACAATTATGCTGCAACAAATTTGACAATCTAAGCGAAATGGACAAATTTCTAGAAACACAGTCTCCCAAAACTGAACTGGGAAGAGATAGAAAACTTGAGCAGACCAATAACAGCAAAAGAAATTGAATATGTAATCAAGACTCTCCCAGCAAACAAAAGCCCAGGCCCGAACAGCTTCACAGGGGAGTTTTGCCAAACATTCAAAAAAGAACTAACACCCATTCTCCTCAAACTATTTCAAAAAATTCAAGAATGAGGAAGACTTCCAAACTCTTTTTACGAGGCGAGCATAATTCTAATTTCAAAACCAGAAAAAGATACTACAAAGAAAGAAAATTACAGGCCAACGTCCCTGAGGAACATAGATGCCAAAATCTTGAACAAAATACTAGCAAATTGAATCCAGCAATACATCGAAAAATTATTCACCATGACCAACAGGAAGTCATCCTAGAGATGCAAGACTGGTACAATATTCACAAATCAATAAATGTGATACACCACATAAACAAAATGAGAGATAAAAATCATATGATCATATCAATAGACACTGAAAAAGCATTCAACAAAATCCAGCACCCTTTTCTATAAAAACGCTCAGCAATCTGGGAATAGAGGGATCATATCTTGACATAATAAAGGCCATATATGAAAGACCTACAGCCAACATCATACTCAATGGACAAAAACGAAAGCATTTCCCTTAAGGACAGGAGCACGACAAGGATGCCCACTTTCACCACTCTTATTTAACATAGTACTGGAAGTCTTAGCCACAGCAATCAGACAGGAAGAAAAAATAAGCAGGATCCAAATTGGAAAGGAGGAGGTGAAACTGTCATTATTCACAGATGACATGAAAAATTTACTAGACTTAATAAATGAATTTGACAAAGTAGCAGTTTACAAAATTGTCAAGAAATCGATGGCATTTTGTACATCAGTGATGAACTCACAGAAAGAGAAATTTTAAAAAATCTCGTTTACCATTGCAGCAAAAACATTAAGATACCTAGGAATAAACTTAACCAAAGGAATAAAGGACCTATTTGCAGAAAATTACAGGTCATTGAAAAAAGAAATAGAGGAAGACATAAAAAAATGGAAGCACATACTTTGTTCATGGATTGGAAGAATGAACATCATTAAAATGTCCATACTACCCAAAGCAATCTATAGATTCAATGCAATCCCCATCAAAATACCAACATCATACCTCACAGAACTACAACAAATACTTCAAAAGTTCATATGAAATCAAAAAAGACCCCGAATAGCCACAACAATCTTGAAAAAGAAGAACAAAGTTGGATGGGTCACATTACCAGATTTCAGGTTATACTACAAAGCCACTGTAATCAAAATAGCCTGGTACTGGCACAAGAACAGGCAGATAGATCAATGGAACAGAATAGAGAACCCAGAAATGAACCCAAGACAATATGCTTAATTAATATTTGGCAAAGGTGGCAAGAGCATACAGTGGAGTAAAGACAGCCTCTTTAATAAATGGTGTTGGGAAAATTGGACACCTACATGCAAAAAATGAAACTAGACCATCAACTTACACCATACACAAGAATAAACTCAAAATGGATAAAACACTTAAATGTGACTCATGAATACATAAAAATCCTAGAAGAAAATGTAGTCAACAAAATTTCAGACATCATACGCAGCAGAATTTTTACTAATACATCACCTAAGGCAACTGAAACAGAGGAGAAAATGAACACATGGGACTACATCAAACTCAAAAGCTCTGCACAGCAAAAGAAACAACCACTAAAATGGAAAAGCAACCCACTCTTTTGGGGAGCATAATTGCCAATGATACATCAGATAAGGGGTTAATTTCCAAAATATATAGAGTGCTCATACAACTCAACAAAAGGAAGACAAAGAACCCAATTAAAAAATGGGCAGAGGAGCTAAATAGACACCTTTCCAAACAGGACATACAAATGGCTGAGAGACATATGAAGAAATGTCAACATCACTAATCATCAGAATGGCCACCATCAACAAATCATCAAACAAGTGTTGGCGAGGGTATGAAGAAAAGGGGACTCTTAGTACACTGCTGGTGGGAATGCAGACTGGTGCAGCCACTATGGAAAACAATATGGTGTTACCTAAAAAAATTAAAAATTGAACTGCGATTTGGCCCAGTGATCCCACTTATAGGAATACACCCAAGAAGCCTGAAACACCCATCAGAAAGAATATATGTACCCCCATGTTCGTAGCAGCACTATTTACAATAGCTAAGATCCGGAAACAGCCCAAGTGTCCATCAGTAGACTAATAGATAAAAAAGCCGTGGTACATACACACAATGGAGTCCTATGCAGCGGAAGAAAGAAAGATCTCTTATCCTTTGAGATGACATGGAGGGACCTAGAAAGTATCATCTTAATGAAACAAGCCAAACAGAGAAAGACAAGTATCATATGATCTCACTTATTTGTGGAATATAATGAATATAACAGTCTGAGGAATGGGGTAGTCCCAGAGATGTGGAAGTGGGGTACAGACTGACAATCCCCAGAAGAGGGGTTGGTGGGGAGAGATAAACCACAGAACTTATATGCATGTATGCATGAACAGTGAACATGAACAACAAAGCTGGGGACAGGGTGGGGAGGTGATGGGGGGGAATCAGTGGGGGGAAAGGTCAAACATCTGTAACAAAAATTAATTAATTTAAAAATTAAAAAAATATATCGATGAGAGAGAACATCAGTTGGCCTCAAAAATATGGTAGCTTCACAAATTTGCATGTCATCCTTTTGCAGGAGCCATGCTAATATTCTCTGTATCGTTCCAATTTTAGTATATGTGCTGAGAGCAAGCACTTAACCACTGTGTTTTTAGATGCCTTGTTATGTACTAATAGAGAAGTTAAAAAAATAAAATAAATGACTGTGGAAGAAAAAGACTAATAATGTATGTAATTTCATGTGTATGAAACATTCATGAGGTGTGGTTTAAAGGAAAAATAAAGAAAGGCAACTTATATGAATCAGGAAAAAACACTAAAATCCCCACTACCCTCCTTAGTATGGCAAGTCCATAATTAAAGCAAATTTGTCTTGTAAATATATCCATCCCACTGTCAATCAAACCTAAAAAAAGGAAATATATATATATTTTCTCCTAAGTTTTATTCTTTTAGCTCTTATGTCTATGATTCATTTTCAGATACATTTGGTGTATATTGTTTAGAATAAGCATAGACATTTATTCTTTTGCATATAAAGATCCAATTGACCCAATACCATTTGTTGCAATTCCCCATCTAATTTCCTTCAACTTTTCAGAAATATTGGATAATACATGTGTGGGTCTATTATGGAATCTATTGTGTTTCATTTATCTACTTATTTATCTTCATGCTAATATAAAGCTATCTTAATTAATGTAGAGTTATAGTAATACTTGAAATTAGATACGTCCTTTTTAAAAATTTTATTTATTTTTTAAATTTGGCATAGTTATCTAGATTCTTCCTATTTTCTTATACATTTTAGAATTAGCTTATCAAATTTTACAGAAAACTTGGACAATTTTTTATTGTGATTGCATTGAATTTTTGGTCACTTTGAGGCAAATTTACATCTGAACTATATTAAGTCTTCTGACCCATGTTGACAAGTTCTCTTTATTTATATAGGTATTCTTCAATTTGTCACAGCAATATTTTACAGTTTTTAAGCATATAGTATTACATATATATTATTAAACTTATCCCCAATATTTTATTCTATATCACTAAAACTGCCATTCTTTTTTTTCTTTTTATTTAATTTATTGGGGTGACTGGTTAGTAAGATTATATAGGTTTCAAGTGTACATTTCCATGATACACGATCTGTACATTGTTTCTGCACAGCATTGCACTGTAAGCCCGCAACCCAAAGTCAAATCACATTCTGTCGCCATATATTTGGCCCCCTTTACCCTTTACTACCCCAATCCAATCTGTATTTTTTTATTTATTTGTTTTGCCTTATTTCTCAAGTTTGGATCTTCAGTGGAAAGTTGGATAAAAGTGATGTGACCAGAAAAGTATGCCTTCATTCTGATCTCAAGGGGAAAACTTTAAGTCTTTTAAATGAGATGTTAGCCCTGGCCTGTTTGGCTCAGTGGTTAGAGCGTCGGCCTGCGGTCCTGAGAGACCCGGTTCGGTTCCCGCTAAGGGCACGTACCTCGGTTGCGTTTGTCCCCGGCCCAGGTCGGTTGTGCGGGTGGCATCCACTCGATGTGTTCCTTTCACATCGATGTTTCTCTCTCTCTGTTCCTCTCTCTCCCTCCCACTCTACCTGAACAAAAAATGGAAAAATGTCCTCGGATGAGGATAAAAAAATAATAATAATAAATAAATAAATAAATAAATAAATAAATAAATGAATGAATGAATGAATGAATGAATGAATGAGATGTTAGTGGTAGAGTTTTGTAGATGGCCATCTGTCCAAGTTTGCTCATTTTTAAGGACTGAATTGTGTTTCCCCAAAAGATATATTGAAATTGTAAGCCCTGGTACCTGTGGATGTGAAAATAGGGTCTTAACAGATAAAATCAAGTAAGATGAAGTTATACTAGTTTAAGGTGGAGCCTAATTCAATATGACTGATGTCCTTATAAGAAAAGAGAAAAAACAGATAGACACAGGGAAGTCCATTAAAGATGCAGGCAGAGGTCAAAGTGATGTACCAACAAGGCAAGACACATCAGTGATTGGTAACAACCACCAAAAGCTAAGAAGAGTCAAGGAAGTGTTCCCCTTAGTCTCTAGAGAGTTTGGCCCTACCAACAAGTTTATTTTGAATTTCTAGCTTCTAAGAACTATAAAACAAAAAAAAATATATTAAATCATCCAGGTTGTGGTAATTTATTGTGGCAGCCCTAGTAAACAAACACACCCAGGTTTTTGTTTTCATAATTTGTATTGAATATATTCAAATAATTTTTCTGCATCTATTGATATGATTGTAGTTTTTTCCTCTATAGTCTTTTAATATAATGAATTATTTAATTTATAAAATGCTAAGCCAGTGACATACTGATTAGGTCCATCTTTTTCAATTCTGCATTTAGTCAAATGCACAGTGATAGTTGGAAGAAGTTGGCCATGATGGGAGTTACACCAGAACAACTGAGAAATGCTGCAAATTAATTTGTCTTTTCTCCCCCACCCTGTGGAGACTGTTGTTACAAACATACAAACACACCACTTTCTTAACTCACTTTAGCATCACTGTGATAAATCTGTTAGTCTCAATGTAGTATTCTATTTATATTTTTATGAACTTTGTTAGACTTTTGTCAAGGAAGCTTATTTATTTGTCTGTTTTCCTCTTCACGAGGGCTACTGTAGTACAGTATTCTTGTTATGTTATTGTCTGATTTTAATAATAGCTAATACAGGCATCATAAAATGAGTTGGGAAATATTCTGCTTCAGAAGAACATTGTGTAAAATTGATGTTATCTCTGCCTTAAATGTTTGATGGAATTCAATAATGAACATATCTGGGCCTCAGGTTTGTTTTGTGGAAAAGTTTTAGTATTATTTCTACATCTTTGATAGATAAAAATGCTTTTCAGGTTCTTTTTCTCTTGGGTGAGTCTGGTTGTGGGTGACATTTCATCATTAAATTGTGCATTTCATCTAACTTGTTGAGTTTGTGGTCATAAAATTGTTTATAAAATTCTTGCATAGTGTTTTCAATGCCTAAAGGAGTGATATATTCCCCTTTAATTCTGATATTAATAATTGGTATCTTCTCTCTCTTTTTCTTAGTTGGAACAGAAGTTTATCAACTTCATTGATCTTTTCAAGGAAACAGCTTTTGGATTTGCTGATTTTTAAATCAACTTTCTGGTTTTCATGTTATTTATTTTTGTTCTTATCTTTATTTTCTTATTTTGTTTAAGTAAGTTTATTTTATTCATCAAGCTTTTAGATAGAAGCTTCTAACATTGTTTGGAGAGCTTTCCTGTTTATTATTAAAAGCATTCATCGGTCTAAATTTTCCTCCAAGCACTACTTTAATTAGGTCTTTCAAATATTGTTTATATTTTCAGTCTTCAAAATTTTGTCTAATTTTTCTTTATGTAGAAGTTGTTAATTCCAAATAGTTAGGTTCTTTTTCAGATGTTTTTTTATTTCCAGTTTAATTTCACGGGGTCCAGAGACGGTGTTTGTATAATTTCATTCCTTTGGTCTGTGCTGAGACTTGGCAGATGACCCTTTCAGTAGTCCACCTTGGAGAGTTTCGTGCATGCACATGTTTTATTTTTAATATTTTCTCTTGCTGTCAAGGTCACTGATTTTTATCCAGCAATAATTTGTTGGTAATTCCAACCAGTGTATTTTAAATTTTATATATTGTATTTTTATTACTATAATTTCTGATTTTTCTTCCAGTGCTCTCTTTTTTTTAAGTTTTTATTATTATTATTATTATTGTTGTTGTTGTTGTTGACAGTATTACAGATGTCCCTTATTTCCTCCTCAACCCAGCCCCAGCCCCAGCCCCACCCCAGGTCTTCAAGACACTATTGTCTGTGTCTATGCATATATACATGTACATTCTTTGGTTAATCTCTATCTTTCCCCCACCCCCAATTCTATTTTTTTTTTGTACTCATGTTTTTCTCTACCTTCTTAAAAATACAGAGATATTGCCCTGGTTGGTTTGGCTCAGCTGTTAGAGCGTCGGCCCATGGACCAGAGAGTCCTGGGTTTGGTTCCCACTAAGGGCACCTACCTCGGTTGCAGTTTGTCCCCACCCCGGGTGGGGTCATGTGGGTGGCAACCACTTGATGTGTCTCTCTCCCATCGATGTTTCTCTCTCTTTCTTTCCCCCTCTCTCCCTCCTGCTCTATTTGAAGATAAATGCAAAAAAAATTAAACAAAATATGAAGATATTTATAATAGGTATTTTGAAGCTATGAGAATATTTGTAATTGCTGTTACAATGTCTGGGAATTGTTTTCCCTCGTCCTTTCCAGGGCTTCTGTCGAAGGCCTTAAATGGGTTTTAATTTTCTTTCTGTTCTTATCTGTTCATGTACAGCTCATTTCTCAGCCAAAGACTTGTGAGACCTTTCTTCACAGAGGTCCAGAGAGGCACTCCTTTCTTAAACTTGAAAAATTCTCAGTGACTATTTCTTGAAGTTTGCTTCTGCCCATCCTCTCTTTACTCTGGGATTCCAACTTAAACTAATTTAATCCTATTAATTCTGCTCTGCATTTCTTTTTTTTTTTTATCCTCAACTGAGGACATTTTTCTATTTTTTGTTCAGGTAGAGTGAGAGGGAGAGAGAGGAACAGAGAGAGAGAGAGAAACATCGATATGAAAGAAACACATTGAGTGGCTGCCACCCACACAACCGACCAGGGCCGGGGACAAACTGCAACCGAGGTACGCGCCCTTAGCAGGAACCGAACCCGGGTCTCTCCGGACCGCAGGCCGACGCTCTAACCGCTGAGCCAAACCGGCCAGGGCTGCTCTGCATTTCTTAAACACTTTCTACATGTTTTACATTTTTCCTTCTATGACTCAGTTGTGCATATTTTCTTTTTTGTACCTTTTATTTTTTAATTAAAATTACTGGGGTGACATTGGCTAGTAAAATTATGTAGTTTTCAAGTGTATGATACATGATCTGCTTATTGTCTTGTGTGCCCACCACCCAAAGTCAAATCTTCTGTCACCATATAATTGACTCCCCTTTATCCTTTCAATATGTATATTTTCTAATGTCCTATATTATGCTTCACTAAGCCTGCCTTAATGTGTTGCTTGTCTAAAATTTTCTTGCAGAGATTTTCATCTCTAGAATTCC